AGCAAGGGTGAAAACAACAGATTGAGGAAGAGATTTTCTGTTTGTAGGCCTCAGAGAAAAGGGGGCAGATGTGACCCTCCTGGCAGAGAAGCCCCGGCACCCTAGTCACATCCTAGGGCCATTTTCCTCTCCAGCTTTTCCTAAGGATCAGCTCTGCTGGCTCTTGTCCTGCCAAGCCTGGCAGGCTTCCATCAGCATGCCACTCTCTGTTTCTACCCAGTGCCGTCCTTGCTCCCAGTCAGGAAAACGTACCTTTGCCTTGAACTCTTAGAAATTAAAGAAGTGATTTTGAGTCTTAGGACATGAGTGTCAGTATAATTCTCCATCCCTTATTTGACTGGACAGAGATTTTGTGCACATTAGCAAAGTACTCTAATGGTTTTGAGTTTGGACTGAGAAGTCACGTTTCCTCAGCAACCCAGCTCAGGTGCCTGTGTAATCTTGGAAGACTTACTCAGTGTTTCTAAGTGAGTTTTCTTTTCTATAGAATGGGGATAATACTACTACTACTGAATGGGATTATTGTGGGACACTTCAGAACAGTGTTTTCCAGTAATAATATAGTGCAGGCCACATATATAATTTATATGTTCCAGTGGCTGTAGTTTAAAAATTATGTATAAAATAAATATGCTTCAGGGGGATATTACACAGCACAGAGAGATATAGCCATTATTTTGTAATTTTAAATGGGGTGTAATCTATAAAAATATTGAACCACTATGTTGTACACCTGAAACTAATATGATATTTTAAGTCAACTATACTTCAATTAAAAAGAGTAAAATAAAATAAGTGAAATTAATTTTAATATATTTATTAACCCAGTATATCCAAAGTATTATCATTTCAACATGTAATCAAAAATAAAACAACTGTAATATTACTCAGCCATAAAAAAGAATGAAATAATGCCATTTGCAGCAACATGGACGGACCTAGAGATTTTCATTCTAAGTGAAATAAGTCAGAGAAAGACAAATATCATATGATATCACTCATATACTTTATATGTGGAATCTAAACAAGTGATACAAATGAACTTATTTGCAAAACAGAAATAGACTCACAGAAGTAGAAAACAAACTTATAGTTACCAAAATGGAAAGCGGGGGGGAGGGATAAATTAGGAGTTTGGGATTAACAGATGTACACTACTGTATATACAATAAACAACAAGGACGCACTGTATAGCCCAGGGAATTCTACTCAGTACTCTACTGTAATGACCTATATGGGAAAAGAATCTGAAAAAGAGTGGATATATGTATATGTATAACTGATTCACTTTGCTGTACACCTGAAACTAACAGAAGATTGTAAATCAACTACACTTCAATTAAAAATAAATAAACAGTGGTTAATGAGATCTTTTACATTCTTTTTATTCATATTAAGTGTTTTAAATCCAGTGTGTATTTTACACCTACTAGCACGTCTCGGTTTGAGCTAAGCACCTTTCAGGTGTCCAGTAGCTGGGGCCTGCTGTATTAGGCAGTGCTCTTTTAGCTCATTCTTATAAAACACAATACTTAGCACGGTGCTTAGTTCATACTTAGCATTCGACAAATGTTGGCAAAATTAATATTCACTTAAAACCATCAAAAACTGGGTAGACTAACATTTGACTGTGTGTTTGCATATATTGCCACATGGGAAGACGCCTCAGATCTGGTTATTTCTGTTTCAAAGGAATAAAGAGCTGACTTTAATGTTCTTGGTTGTTCCCTGTAAGGTGGCCTCTGGGTTTCAGAATGAGGTCAGTTTGGGGGTCTATGGTTGCCTTTTGGGGAGGTGGGAAAGGGGAAACTCAGTGTGCTTCAAGTGCTGCGTGCCTGTCTCTGTTTTTTTGGCTCTTCTCTGTTTAATTATTTGGAGCTGGAACAACTTGATTTTAAAGCAAAACATATGGGTTGAGAGTAATTGGGAGGACGTTTACTGGTGATGGAGCGGCAAAGGTATGTACGGGTTTAGGCCCTGGCCCTGCGGCACTCACTTAGCTATTGACGGCTTTCCTGGACTTCAAATTCAGTGTTCTTTCTACAAATTCTCAAACCTTGTTTGGAAAGTCACAGTTAAGGCAGGAAATATTGGAGCAAGATTATAAAGGAAATCGTGAGTCTTCTTTAGGTCCTGATTTTTTTCTCTTTGTTGAAAACTTGGTTTCCAATCTGTTTATATATGATTTGGGAGAGAAAAAGGTTTTCCGAAGTGCCAGGAAGAGAGAGGAGAACTCCGCACAAAGAGGAGAAAGTTGACCCACCACTGAAGTTTTCTGTTTTCCGCTTTACCCCATTGATGACACCAGCACGGGGAACGTCTGTTCTACAACCAGTTTAATGTGAAGGCAAGGTTTTCATCTCTTTTTACCTCCTCAACTTCCCTTTGCTTCCTGGGGAGGGAATATATGATGCCCATGTCACATCCCATATAATTCTAACCTGAATGCTTCCACTTTCTGTCCCATAGGGGAAAAGGGGGATGTGTCAAAACTGGTAAGAACACGTACGTTGATGCTTAGACTCATCTTGGTTCAAATCTCTGCTTTTCCACTCGGAAGCTGTGTGCCTTTGAGCGGAGTAAACTCTCTCAGCCTCATGTTTCTCATTCTTAAAATGGGGTTAATAATAGTGCCTATTTCAGAACAAAATTATTGTGACGCTTAAGAGAGACACATCATACAAAGCACTAAGCAGAGTGCCAGGAACGTAATAAAGAGAAGCTTAATGTTAGCGATGAGGCAGGGGCCCTCAGCAATGGTACGTCCACCCTCTTCGACGGCAAGAGGGACAGTGGACCGCTACGTCCTCTGCCACAACATCTCACCCATTGCTTGAGGTGACACTGTGATTAAATACTGCATCAAGGAAGTGACCGAACCTTTGTCCACAAAGAGCTTTAGCATCAGAACGTCTTGCATTTCACTGGGCTGAGTTTGATGTCAGTGTGGGTGAAGTCAAGCGCTCCGTGTCTTCTAAGGTCTGAAGGGCTCCTGTTTATGCACTTGTCCCTTGTTACCCTACTGTGCCTAGGACCTATGAATATGAGAGTGACGTGCTGAATTGCTTTATCTGTGTACTACAGAGTCCCCAAAACCTTTTGAGTCATTTGGAGGACTGGTGCATTTGTGGCTTCAGATCAGAACTGTAAAGCAAAATAGCATTCTGGCCTGGGCAGTGGAGGGGCTGAGCGTAGTGGGTTTTTTTGCTGGGATGTTGAAGACAGATTTTTCTGAACACTTTTCAAACCTGTATGAGCACGGGTAGGAAAAAAGGGGTCCTCGGTTTTTGCTAAATCAAGGACACATTGCTGAGCTTTTCTGTGTAGGGACTCAGCAGGCATTGAATGCTATCTCACTACGGTGTCAGATAATTGTCCGGGGATTTGGCAAGTTCTGCTTTTAAAAACACCACCACCTTTTCAGAGCAGTCATTCCTTGGTGTTTTTTTGCAGTCCTCTCTTCTCCCTCTGCTCCTGCTGTTTTCCCAGCCCTTTCGGATTTATTAGCCTTGCCTACAAAGTGTCAGTGACTCCCCACTGCGAATGGCTGAGACCTCGCCAGGTGGACCCTTCTCAGATTTCCCTGAAACTGGAGAGAGTAGCCACCCTCACTCTTGTTTTCTCCACGCCCCTCTCTCAGTGGACAGCGTCCCTGCCATTTAACTTGATCAAGATGTTAGTAAAATAAACAGCTGCCATGAGGCTGAAACTGCTTGTCAACCTGCCCACCCTCTTTTCACTTCACTGTTTGGAGAGGAAACTCAGAGCTGCTGTTGATAATAAAGAAGAGGACTAAGATGTGTCTTTTTCTTCGTGGCCAGTTACACCCAGTCTTGATCACTGAGCTCTTAGTGGGTTGGACAACCCTGTGCAATGTGTCACCAAACCTGTGAAACTCTGATTATAAGACACACCATTATTTTAGGTACAATCAAGGGGAAAAAAGCAAACTATGAGACATCATCGATTTTAAGACACATCCCAATTTCAGAGATGTTAAAATGTGGTGGGAAAATGTGTATCTTAAAGGAGGTGGAATACAGTGAGGACTAATTAAAATGGACCGTCCCCCTGGTTACTGACTGCTCCCCTCTGCAGCCCCATACTCAGTGCAGCTGATGGAAGGCTGAGGGAGTCTGTGTGTTTTGCAACTCAGTCTCAGGTGTTATTTGTGTACTCTGTGTTATGCATTAAGTTATAGCACTGAGTTGAGACCAGGCTGAGTCATGGAAGCCCTCTCAACTGCAATATAAGTATTTTAAGTTTCCAACAAACAGAAGAATCCAGGTGTTTTCTTTGGGTCACTCTGGACTTGATAAGGTTCACGTTCCCTTTTATTTATTTATTTATTTAGTTAGTTGCACCGGGTCTTAGTTGTGGCAGGTGGGCTCTTTAGTTGTGGCATGCGTGTGGGTTATAGTTCCCTGACCAGGGATCGAACCCGGGCCCCCTTGCATCGGGAGTGCAGTCTTATCCACTGTGCCACCAGAGAGGTCCCTCGCGTTCCCTTTTGAAGGAGTGATAAAGAGCTTGCTGAGGGACACTGGGGGCTTCGGCATGCCCTCCCTGCCGCAGCCCATTCATGGTGGCATGATGGCGAGGAGAGAATCTCCAGCTCTTCTAAATTCATGGCCCTACTTATCCATTTTCTAGTGAACATCGTGCTCAGATTTACTCACTGTTTCCTCTCCTATCCAAAAGGCAGCGTTAAACATTATTGATGACTTTAATTTTACTGAAGATTCTACCGAATTATTATTCTTCATGATCTGTTAAGCATTAAGCTTAACATTAACAGTAAGCAGGTGCCCTTCTTTATACTGTAATAACTTTAATCAAGGGGATGATGGTATTTCTTTTCCTGTTAAAGACCATTAGTCAGGTTTTAGGAAAACTATTTCTCAGCAGGTAAAGTATCCAAAAAATTGATTGAAAACTTCGTACTAGTAAAAACATGGCATTTACCTTCATACTTACACCACTTTCTCCCTTTCTTTCAGTTTTTGGGAATAGCATTTCTTGGAATTGGACTGTGGGCGTGGAATGAAAAAGTAAGTTAAACATCATTAAAATGCACACGTTTTGGTTGTAAGAAGCTGCACATTATATGCTGTCTCTTTTTCCTCTTTGACAACTGCCAAGTATATGGAAACATGGCTCTTTAATGAAAAAGTACTCTTGGAAGATAACGTCACAGTTCAAAGACTCTTTAAGAATGGAGCCTAAATTGGTCACGCCACAAGAATTTCAGTAATGCTTATAAATAATACTAAAGCACCTGTAGCCTTTTTTCTCTTTTACTTTTTAAAAAACCCTTTGGAAGATTATTCAATCCATAAAAAATGGTATTTTAGCGTGAGCATTACGTGCTGAGCTGTTAGCATGCGGTATGTATGAAGGAAGCTAGATATAATTCATGTTTGAACATCAGATAAACTTATCACTGTTGCTAAAGAATGTGAACACTTGTCTGCTGATTGAAAGTGTAAAGGAATATTCAAACTTTGTAATCAAATACAGCACAGAAAGGGATAAATCTGGCAGGAGAAGGCTGCATGAAGATACAATGTTCTGGGTGGTTTATTCTGTAAACAACACACTCACGACACCACTGCCCTGTGTTCATTCCTCCACTTCACTTCCCATCCATACCTTTCAATGTTTTCTCTGCAACTTCTACTGAAGCCAAGCAGTGGAATTCAAAAATAAACACAAACTCCTTTTTCTTCCTTCTTTGGATGTGAGATCACTGGCAGCATTTTATCTGTGTTGGTATTTGGCTACACAGTGAAGCTTTGTTACCTCCCACCTGTGAGAGTGAGTGAGTGGATGGATTGGTTAAAAGTTGTAAACTAAGACATTGGCTGAAATTTCCCCAGAAGACCATTCTCTTATCACTTTGGTATTTCACCCTCTGAGCTTGACCAAGGCCCAAAGTCAGGAGTTCCTTTGAAGTATTTCATGTACTAAGAAAGAAGAGAAAAACTACGAAAGTCCAGCAAACAAAAGCCCTTCAGACGTAGGAAGGAATTTCCACAAGTAAAACAGTGTTTAGATAGACTGCATCCAATAAATTCAAAATAAATCCAGAGTTTTGAAAGTGAACCACCCTCTGTTTATTGACGTAATACTTATACAGAGTGTGAAATGTTTTATGGAAAATGAACCACCTTCCAGCCACCTTACGAGGAAGGGCGGGGATTATACATCAAGGGAGACAAATGACGTTCCCAAAACAGAGGTAATTTTATCTCTAGAAACTGTTCTGTTGAATACTGGCCTTCTGGCTTATGATCAGCTTCTGCCTCAATCCCCTTGTAATCTTGGAGATTTGTATTGGTGGAATCTCAGAAATTCCACTTTTTGAAGCCCTCTCTTTGGTTCAGTGACAGATCATATAGCTCTTTATAGCTCTCCTTTAATCAATCCATTTCTATCAGCTCTGAAATGATGCTGGAAGGCATTATATGAACTCATTGTCTATTCTAGCAATACATAGAAAATTCATTGTTTTGAAGGTTTTTTTTTCTCTTTGTGAAATATAATTATCCTTTTGTTTCATCAGCTGCCCCAGATGTCTCTTCTCTGATAAAATCACAAAATTCTAAAACTGGCAGTGTCATATAAATATCAGAGCAAGGGAATGATGTGGTCTCTAGGGAGGGATGAAACAGCAGTTCCCTCTTTTGTCAGGGCCAGTGGTGTCAGCAAATGGAAGGTTTCTCTGGAGAGCTGAGGTTACTTGGCCAAGGTTACCCAGCTACTGTGTAGCAGGGCTCTGTGAGCTGGGACCAAGCGGAGGTAGCAGAGGGTAAAAGATGCGCAACAGCCCAATTTGGTGTGCGCTGGCTACACATCTGGGCCCTGAGCCTGGGGGTGAGGATGCAGCAGTGAATGACGCAGAGTCCCTGCCCCGTGGGGCTTGCGTTCTAGTGGGGGCCTCGGCGGTAAGCAGTCAACTTGCCAGGAATACGCACGCAGGTATGGTGAGTGCTGCTGAGAAACGTCAGGTGTAGCATAAAGGTTAGTTAGAGAGTGGTGGGGAAAGGAGTCTCTTTTAGGTAGAGTAGTTGGGAACAGCCTCCCTGAGGAGGGGGCGCTGGAGCAGAGACCTGGATGAAGTAAGAGGGATCTGCATAGCACTAGGGGAACAGCATTCCAGGCAGAGGGAATAGCAAGTGTGATGGCCCTGAGTCTCAGGGACTTAGCGATTCCAAGGAACAGGAAGAAGGCCGACAGGACTGGAAGGGAGAGAGCCAGAGTGAGAAGTAGAGGATGTGGAAAGAGAGGCAGGCAGAGCCCGGAGCAGGCAGCGTCCTGCAGAAGCTGGATGGGAGGCGGTCACCGGGGCATTTTGGTAAGGGCGTGTCCTAATCTGACTTTTGTTTTACGATGGCTCTGGTTACTGTGAGGAAAAAAGAAGCACAGCCCTAGGCTGAACAGACCAGAGTTCAGATACTAACCCCTGCATTTTTGTCCGTGTGACTTTGGGCAACTGCACTAACTTATCTGAGATACCCTTGCCCTGTTTATGCAAGGGCCGCTAACGTCACCTCATAGGGTTGCTGTGAGGATGAAATAAGATGGCTCCCAGCGCAGTGCCCGGTATGAAGTAAATGCTCTCTGGAGACATGGTTCCCTCCCCTGGACGCATTACTACAGTATGTCCACTCCTACATGGAGAAAAGAGCAGAACGGTGGCTTTGAAAGCTGCCTCAAGTTTTAGGAGAGTTCCGGGCTCTGATCCATGGACCCGAGAATTGGCTTTGTTTTGGGGTCTCTTAAGGAGGACGTGATGTGCATTGATTGACTTGGTAACTGCAGAGGCTACTCTATTGAAGCCCTTTGGGTTAACTTCTAAGCTAGACCAGGCCTCTGATGGGATGACGTTCTGAGGTGAACCATAGCCAGCCAAGGGTGGCAGCCGCATGCACCTGCAGGGCGGATCACACCAGCCCATGAATCAGTAAACCCCCCCAGTGGAGATATGGTGACATTTACTTGAAAAGAGGCCTAGAGGGTAAATCCCCAAACTGGGTCACAGCTGGAAGGATCAGATTTCCTTAACAGATGGGGTTTTGCACTTTTTTGTGTGGAGTACAGAAACGTTGGAGGCAAAAGTTATTACCCCTCATACTTACTTAATACAAGGCTCAGTTTTAAACCTAGGACTAATATTACAGTTGAATATTAGACATAATAATTAAATAATTTATATTATCTAAATTCCAAATAGACTGTCAAGATGCAGAGAATGAGTGTGTCTCCAGAGGGAGCTGGTTTGTGTGCAGTTTTTCAGAAATCATAGGATCTGCTGTTTTAGAAGGAACATTAACAATCACGTAGCGTGAATCACCTCTACAACAGGCTTGGCAACGTCCAGCCATAATCAACGCATTCATTCAAAGAACATTTACCGAGCACACGGCATGGGGCAGGGCTTGCGCTGGACTCGGGGCAAGTAATTCCTCAGGGAATTTATGGTCTCGGAAAGGCGTGCATATATACATAAAACATATACGTGTAGAAATAAAGCACATTTTGCAATAATGCTAATTTGGAGTGTATAGAAGTTTAACAATTCCTTGGGCAACGTGCTCAGACCTTCTCTCTCTCTGGGTTTCTCTTACTGTTAGAAAGACCTTCCTCCCACCCCATGAGAATCGTGTCCTACTAGCCTACTAGTTTTCCTTCATTGAATGTGGGTCCGCCCTGTTGGATCCCACAGTAAGTCCTTCTCTGTATTAGTCCCTGGCTCCTTCTGAGTTTCCAGGCTGCACATTTGCTTCTCTCTGGGTGGAGCCCTTTCATGAGCACCAGGGAGAGGGTGCTTTAGGGGCCAAAGAGGGTATGGCTGCATCATGTCCCTTCTCTCCTGTCTGCTGTCAGCGCAGCTTGAGATCACACAGTTAATCACCGAGAGTCCCAAATTGGTCTCAGATCCAGCTAGGTTTCCTCCATCCATCCCACATCTGGCTGATTTTCAGAGGCAAATGCAAGATTCCAAATTGACCCAGTTATATTCTACCTGCGTGTCTACCTGCTAAGATTGCTTTGGAGCCCAGAGCTGTCATCCAGCACATTCCCCATTCCATTTAGCTTGGTTTTAGCTGTACTTTTAATCAACCTCCTCCCTCAATTCCTTCTTTTAACTCAGGCCTTCCTTTAGCTCTCTGTCGCAGTGCCACCTGGCAAATTCAGATTCAGTAGGTCTGGGGTAGGCACCCCAGGGAGGCTCTCTTTTAGCAAGCCTCTTACATTGTTCTGATTGCAGTCAAGTATAGTTATCACTGATAGAAGCCACTGATATGTTGAGCAGGCCAAGGGCAGGACCCAATGACATGTCACTAGAACTTTGCTTTGGGGTTGACACTCATTCACTTACGTGTGCCCTTGGGTTTCATTAGTCAAGGAATTTCTTATCCATCTACTTGTCATTACATCAGACTGTCTTTCTGCATCTTGTCTTTTTCTCTGAATAACCAGCCTAGGACTTATTTGAACCTGGCACTTTCTTATTGAAACCATATGGGTCCTGAAGCACATCATTTTCTCACCCAGGTACCCTGAAACTCTTACCAGCAAAGCAAGGACTAAGCCATGTTTTATCATTCCTCCCTTCCAGGAACACTTGGCCTCACTTGGCTTCCAAGAGATCACGCACTTCTGGGTCTCCTACCTCGTAAGCACTGCCTTCTCACACTCCTTTGCAAGGTCCAGCTCGCCTCTCGGACCTCTGAATTTTGGAGAAACCCCTCTCTCTCTTCACTCATGCTCTGGAAGCTCTCATCCAGGCTTGGAGCATTAGGTACCATCTGTCACTGATGACTTCCAAATTTAGATATTTGGTCCTATCCTCATTTGAATCCCAGACTCGTCACATCCGCAAGCCTACCCAGCATCTCTGCTTAAATGCCCACCAGGCTTCTGAAGCTAATAATCCAAAGCAATGCTCCTGATTTCTCCCATCAAACCTGCTCTTCCCAGTTGTAGGAAATGGCAGCTCTGTCCTTTCAGCCACTTGGGTGTTCGTGACACCCTTCTATCTTTT